TCTGTCATAATCACTATATCGTGGATAAATCGAAGGTAAGTGATGTACTCGCCATTGATGTTACCGTATCCTTTCCAGTCCAGTAGCTTGAAAATGTCTTCCAATGCAACGGTGAAGTGTTTAGGGGTTATAACATCACCCTGTCTTACACCTCTCTGCAGTTGGATAGGTTTCGTACTCTGATTCTGTACTCGGATAGCCACCATAGCTTTACTGTATAAATACTTCAGCACTTCGATATACCGACCGTCAACTTGGCACCGCTGAAAGGACTGCAGCTGCTCTCAAATTTCGATGGAATCAAGGGCTTTTTCATGGTCCACATACGCAAGGCACAGTGGCAGATTGTACTCTTCGTTCTTCTGTACAATCTGCCGCAGGGTGTGTATGTGGTCCATGGTACTGAAGCCTTTTCGGAAACCGGCTTGTTCGGGAATCTGGAAGTCGTCGAGCTGCGTGCGAGGCGAGTCGTAAGCAGTATCTTAGAATATCATTTATAAATCGAACTAAGAACTATACTATATTTCTTTATTATTCACTATCACTTTCATATTAATATTACGAGTCAGCAGTATTTGTTATTTGTTGTGAATTTTGAACTAATAAAACTTTAACCATTGCCTATAAATTAAATACTTTAATAAGAAACTCTGGTAAGAGCGGTAAGAGTAAAAACAGATCGGTCGGTTGGCCATGCAGCACCACTCCATAATAGAACGGACGCCAGAAAAATAAATATATAAATATATAAAATAAGAGCGAGATTGTCAACGAACTAGTTCGCATAGTTCACCTAAAGGAGCGCTCTTCCGCCCTAGGTCGTTCGCGAACTACCCAAGCCTACAAGTTAGCAACCCTGGCATGCGTTGACGTATCGTATGTTCTTCTTCAATACGCTTTGGGCGGCCATATTTCTCTATCGTCGTGCTCGTGCGTGCATCTGTTATTGAATCACATCTCAAGACCTTAGGTAGGTAATTATGATCTAATAATGTAATAGGCATAATTTGTTTCATAATGTTACTTATTAATATACTGATATAGTAGAATTGTGTGGGTTTCTTCCTTAAATATTTGGTAGTAGATCAGGCCTATTCCTGCCACCTTGATTTCCAACTCTTGAGATATGTGTATATCAATCTGGTGTCTAAAAACACGAGGTGCTTGTGCTTATTATAATCGTGTATGATGTGCAAATCCAAGAATAGTAAGATATAATGGTTCAGGTTTATATAATTCCGTTGTGCACTTCGATTTGTAAAATTATTCGTGGGTAGGTAGGTACTTTTTCGCCAAAGAAGTAATATTCTTTGTCCAGTGTTATTTCTCGAATAAAATGCGTGAATTTTTTAAAGATTAATAATTAGTGTATAGTTTATAACTTCAAATTGATATGAAAGCGATTTCGTGGAAAATGTGTGTACTAATTGTAAACATACATTATGGATTAACTTGTTGACAATGGTCACATATTTTGTTTTTTTACTAGGTATTATTTGCGCCTTTACACACAAAAGTTAGTCAAATGAAGGAAATTTATTAACAATATTTATTAAATATCTTTAAATTGAGTCATAAATACTCTAGAAAGAGATTAGCCATAGGCGTTTTTACTTAATTAAATCTATAGTCAAAAAATATTTATATATTTAAAAATTTAAAAATCTCAAACTATATTTACAGGTATTTCTAAGCATATTATAGTATATTTTTCACGAAACATGAGTTGTAATAAAGTTTATAAAACCTGTTTCATAATGTAGGTAGTGTGTACATTTATTTTATAAATATTTGGGAAACATAATCCCTGTTATTCATATTGCCTTAATTTATATTTGATTTTATTTAAAATGATGTCCCTTTAAAATTTAAATATAAAATATTAAAAACAAGTAAATATGTAATGTATTTTATATGACTATTTTTTTAAGTGGGTAGTTTTTTTTAATAGTATTTTTAGGTCTGGTTGAAACTAATAAGATGTTGCTATTTACATAAAAATATATTTGATAATGAGATATGCTGCAATAATCTGGGACAGAGACTGTCTCTTATAAGATTTTATGGGCATTTCATCAGATCTATACAAAATCTTTATTTGTTGTTTAAATTCATGTATATCTTTGAGTGGTAGAAATAAAAGCTGACAAAAACAGTATGCATATATTTTCTTGTTACTAGAAAGACTATCAAGATAGCAAATGCTAAATTCTGATACTTTTCATCTGACATTTGAGATCTTTTGATTTTTTATAAACAGAACTCGAATGTTTCCAGCTTTGACCGCCGTCACTATAGTTCAAATGTCTCAGATACTTATACATAACAGTACTATTTTGCATCTTGTAACTTTCTTCAGGGACTAGGGTGGAGTACCAATAAAACAGATGAATCCATTCAAAATGTGATGTATATGTTATGTATGTGACATACATTGTAGCTGTATATACAGTATTGAAAATTAACCTGATAAACATTTCCAAAAAGCAAAAATTAAATAGCCACCTGTATTATATGAATAATTCATGATTAAAGAAAGTACTCAGTCTTCATCTTTGGATATAGTTAAATAGTAGACCAGCAGTTTGATTGTGTAGCTCTGTTTGGAATTGTTTACAAGTAAAAAAAAAAAACTCCCATCAGCATTGTTTTTCATTTTGATAATATTTTGTAACCTAAAGAATATATAAAATAAATAAAACATTAGCATATGTTCAATATAGATATAGGGCACACCAAAAACAAACTTTAAATTTCATAAGACAGTCCATCACAATCCCCACTAAAGTGACACAACAGCTCTAGTTCACACTTGAATCAATTTGTTAATAGTTTTAATGTATATTGGAAATACTAAATCATCAAAACATCGACTGTTATGAATTCTATTCATCAACTTGTTAATCTTTAGATTGAAGTCTCAGTTTAGGAAACTTTTTAATCAAAAGTATAAATTTTGCTTCCCATGCATTTAATTATTATAATTTCGCCACAAATATTACCTTTGCAATAGTCTAACGGGGAAGTGCACAAGGCCTTAAAATGTGTTTATAATAATAATTATTACATTGTGTTATTTAGTACTCTAAGCCAAAAACATCACATCTGGCGGTAATAAATTAATTTAATACAGTAGTTACCTACATTTTTATGGTGCCATGAGTTACTTTTACAAAAAATCATTGCTTTGTGAATAATACAATCAATACTATTTAATAAAAAAAATTCTGAATAATTAAAATTAAAAGTATAGATATATTTTAAATTATTTGTAAATTGTGCATGGAGCCATGTAGCGGCAGTGATAGAATATCCATTGGGGTATTAGCAGAGCCAGGAGATGGACAACAGCATCTCCCTGATAACAACTCTGTCTTTGACTATGGTTGTTAACCCGCACTGGTTAAACAAAATCTTCCCTATATGGCAATCTAAGAGGGAGGCCTATGAAAAACTAAAATAATCAGTTGACATAGGATAATTTATTTACTATTGTAATAAAAACACAGAATCATATCTAAATTCTAAAACCAAGCTGTTTATCTGCTAAGCTATCATTGAATTGCCTGGGCCTCTATGAGAACTGAGGGATCTCATGCATTAACTGTTTACAAGTGCTGAGCTGCGTTAAAAAAATCTAACGCCAGGCAAAGCTTGTTGGCTAGGTACAAGTATACAACATATTAAAAAGGATATAAAGTATACCTATATTGTTTGTGTTATGTTTAAGGTATAAAATTATAAAATATTTGTTGATATAAATCTTTTTACCAATTGAAATTTAACATAATATGTTAACTACCTAAATTCTTTTGTTAATGTTTAAGCTATAAAATAATAAAACTTGTTGATATAGATCTTTTTACCAGTTAATGTTTTGAATTATTTTTTTTTACACATTTCTAATTTTGAAGCTACTGCTTTGCTAGGCGAATATTATTATTGTTTTAACATTATTACTGTTATGTATTTAAGTCATTAATCTAGGGTTATTATATATATATATATATATATAAAATTATGAGGAAATTCCTCATAATTTTTATGCATCAAATATTGATAATGCATGAATTTAGACCATAAAATGTGTCAATAAATGTCAATAAGACAAAAAATTCAGTCATGACATTATGACATTACATTTATATAGTCTCCTGACACTCTACTGAAAGTGGGACTGTATGATGATTTTAGTTTTAAGTTTGTTTTTATTTAAATAAATATTGTATATTATTATTAGTAAATTGCTTTAAATAAAAAAGATTTACATGGTATTTAAATGTGATAATCTTTTAGTGTTCTATTGTATTTATTTGTGTTGTAAAAAGTTTGCTTTGTGATGCTCAAAGAATGTTAAATTGGCCATGCGAATCAAAATATTATGATGTACAGCAGTCGCGAAAGAATTAAAAATGTTTATATATATGTAATAGAATATTCTAGTAAATTTGTAAATTTTATTGTAAAAACTTATATTTTTACTGTAGTTCAATTAACCAGCTGGTGTAAGATAGAGTAAATTTTTCAAAGTTTTACCATGTATTTATAGTTAAAATTTTCATCTCGAAGATTTTGTAGTTTCGGCATAATTACTTTGTTGTGAATTCAACAAAGTAACATAAAATAATAAAGGGTTGGCTATAGACATCTTGTTAGGGTTAAGCTTGAACCTATTACACTGTTTTTAGATGCCGGAAATGCGTTTTGAATTAATTACGATGAAAACAAATTTCACTAAAAATTGTGTAATAATGGAACGCAAATATGTCAATTTGTTGTCGTATTATGAAATAGATGTCCGGTACTTGATTTTTTAAATTTTGTTTTCAATTTGGTAGGGTTTTCAGGGTTCAGCTCGAACAATTTAGCATTTAACTCACTTAGCTAGATTTTTTTACTTGTTAACTTTGACATGACTTTACATTTTAGTTGTTTGTTTTATTTCAGTTGCTGTTGCTTCCAGATCAGTGTTTTTTTAAATATAAAAATCAAACAACACAATGGGTGATCGCAATAATCCCATCAAGTTTGGCCCTGAATGGCTGCGTAATTTGGCACGTGAAGGTAATGCTGGTGGTTCAGTGAACAACGGTCCAAACCCTACAAACTCTGGAAATTTACCTAGTTCTGGCTCTGGATCCACCCAAGGGTCCACAACTCCTACTGGGACTATTAGTCTTCCAGGGCCTTCTGGAGTCACAAGTGCTATGGGCAGTTCAGGAAACAATGCAGTACAAGGAGCTGCTGGTGGCTCCACGTCATCTAATATTAATGCAGCAGCAGGAGCGAATTCTAGAAATTCCACAAACAGCAATGCGCCAAAAGTTCTGCTGGCAAAGTTACGGTAAGTAATTTTAATAAAATGAAAGAAAATTTTTACAATTATAACTAAGTTGCCGAGTTTAATTTTTTTGAGTGTCCTGAGTAAGTCCTATTAATTTTTCTACCAGCAACAAGGGTACTGGACGTGAACGTTTTTCCCTTATGTATAGTGGGTCTTGAATCAGAATGGAAATAAAATATTGACTAATAAATTAATAATATATATATATATATATATATATGTGCCGTGTAGTGGCGGTTCAGAATATCCACTACCCCATATCTTCCCATGGGTGTCGTAAGAGGTGACAGATGGAGACAGGCAGGAGATGGGCAGCAGCATCTTTCTGATAACAACTGTGTTATAATAAAAAACTGCGGTTGCCAACCCGCTCGTCAAGCATGGCAACTATGGCAAATATCCCCCCATGAATAACGACGCAAAAAAACGGCCCCCAGTCCCCGGCGGCCCCGCTATTCCTGGTTACGGTGGCCACTATGGTAACGGCTGGGCAGGGGGTGTTAAGAATCTCCGGTGGAGGTTCGGTTGGCCCCTACGATGACTCGACCTGGCAACATATAACGCACGCACTCTGAGGACTGACGAGAAGATACTGGAGCTGGAAGAAGAGGTAGACAAGTTGTGCTGGCATATTATTGGATTATCCGAGGTCCGAAGAGAGGGGGAGGATACGGCAATCCTCGAGTGTGGCAACTTGTTCTACCACCGGGAGGGCGACCATCTGTCTCAAGGAGGTGTCGGATTTATCGTCCACAAGTCTCTCGTCAACAACGTTGTAAAGATTGGGAGAGTGTCGAGGAGGGTCGCGTACCTGATACTCAGAATCACCAAACGGTATTTGCTGAAGGTCATACAGGCTTACGCACCAACCTCGGCACATCCCGATGAGGAGGTGGAGGAAACGTATGAGGATATTTCTAGAGCCATGCATTCCTCCAAAACCCACTACACGGTGTTGATGGGAGACTTCAACGCAAAACTAGGCACAAGAGAAAGCGGTGAGCTGAAGGTGGGGAAATTTGGAGTAGGGCAACGGAACCGAAGAGGCCAGCAGCTGGCCGACTTTATGGAGAAAGAGGGACTCTTTATGATGAACTCTTTCTTCCAGAAGCGGCCCCACAGGAAGTGGACCTGGTTGAGCCCCGACGGTTCGACAAAAAATGAGATTGACTTCATTATGACGACCAGACGCCAACTGTTCAGTGATGTCTCGGTGATCGCAAGGGTGTAAACTGGCAGCGTTCACCGAATGGTTAGAGGCACACTGAACCTAAACGTTAAGTTGGAGAGGTCTCGTCTAATGAAGTCAACGCTCCGTCCCCCTCGTGCTCTAATCCAGAATCCCGAAACCTTTCAGCTCGAGTTACAAAACCGCTTTCAGTGCCTAGAGGATTGCAATGCAGTGGACGATATGAATGACAAGCTCGTGGAAACTGTCCATGCGGTCGGAGCTAAGTTCTGCAAGACCCGCCGCAAAAGAACACAAAAACTCTCCGAGCGCACTCTTAATCTCATGGCTGTTAGACGGGAGATGAGGCTGCAATCGTCAACAGATTTGACAGCATACAGGCAACTGAACAGACAGATCTCCAAATGCATGCGGCGAGACTTACGCAACCTTAATACTGCTCGTATTAAAGAAGCGATCGAGCGGAACCAGGGCTCCAAAGTCTTTGCCAAAGATCTGTCTGCCAGAAAGAGCCAACTGTCAAGGCTGAAGACTGAGTGTGGCAACATCGTCGGGACTCTGAGGTTCTATGGGCAGCTGTACACATCATCGTTGGAGCCACACGCAAGTGTGAGTAACGATCCAAGAGCAAGTCTTATCCGACACTATTCCGATGATAGACGTCAGTCTGAGCGAGATTAGAATGGCTCTCCACCACCTTAAAAACGGCAAGGCCCCGGGTGAGGATGGAATTACACCGGAGCTTCTGAAAGCGGGTGGAACACCAGTACTTGAAGTCCTTCAGAAGCTCTTCAATTCCGTCCTCCATGGTGGCACTACTCCGGAGGCGTGGAGCAGAAGCGCGGTGGTCTTGTTCTTTAAGAAAGGCGACAACGCTCTCTTGAAGAACTACAGACCGATTTCCCTTCTGAGCCGCGTCTACGTGCTGTTTTCGAGAGTCATTACGAATCGTCTCGCACGCAGACTCGACGACTTCCAGCCTCCCGAACAAGCCGGTTTCCGAAAAGGCTTCAGTACCATAGACCACATACATACCCTTCGGAAAATTGTACAGAAGTCCGAAGAGTACAATCTGCCACTTTGCCTGGCGTATGTGGACTATGAGAAAGACTTTGATTCTGTCGAAATTTGGGCGGTGCTACAGTCTCTTCAGCGGTGCCTAGTTGACTGTCGGTATATTGAAGTGCTGAAGTGTTTGTACAGTAGGGCTACGATGGCTATCCGAGTACAGAACCAGAGTACGAAACCCATCCAACTGCAGAGAGGTGTAAGACAGGGATGTTATATCCCCGAAACTCTTCACCGCTGCGTTGGAAGACGTTTTCAAGCTACTGGACTGGAAAGGATACGGTATTAACATCAATGGCGAGTACATAACTCATCTTCGATTTGCCGACGATATAGTCCTTATGGCAGAATGGCCGGAGGACCTTAGCACTATGCTCAATGACCTCAATGGTGTCTCCCAACAGATAGGTCTTTAGACGAACATGGACAAAACAAAGATCATGTTTAATGTCCATGTCACACCTATGCCGGTAGTTGTTGGGAGTTCTATGCTCGAAGTTGTTGACGAGTACGTTTACCTGGGACAAATAGTCTGATTAGGTAAGTCCAACTTCGACCGAGAGGTCAATCGACGGATTCAACTCGGCTGGGCAGCGTTCGGGAAATTACGACACATCTTCTCGTCAGGTATACCTCAATCTCTGAAAACTAAAGTGTATAACCAGTGCATGTTGCCAGTGATGACTTACGGATCTGAGACGTGGTCCTTCACCGCTGGCCGTATGAGGGCGCTCAAAGTCGCTCAGCGAGCTATGGAGAGGGCTATGCTCGGAGTTTCACTGCGTGATACTCAGAAATGAGGATATCCACAGTAAAACCAGAGTGACCGACATAGCCCAACGGATTACTAAGCTGAAGTGGCAATGGGCTGGCCATATAACTCGAAGAACCGATAACCGATGGGGAAGAAAGGTTCTCGAGTGGGCAGCCTCGTACCGGTAGGCGTAATGTAGGGCGACCTCCCACTAGATGGAGTGACGACCTGGTAAGACATGCAGGAAGTCGATGGATGTAGGTGGCTCAGGACCGTGCTTTGTGGCATTACTTGGGGGAGGCCTATGTTCAGCAGTGGACTTAAAGTAAGTAGTAAATTCTTATTTATAGATATCATTATGTCTTAATCCATGAAGCTTCCAGGATTGAAAACAAAATTAACTATATGACGCTAGATGTGGCAATAATAAATTCACACTATTATAGGTAAAAATTTAATAGACATAACATTGACTTTGCCCTACCTGGCCTGTACTGCTACGTAAATGATGTTACTTTGCCTTTGTAGTTACTTGGCCTTTTTTTATAGAATAGCAAGGTAACAAATAGGTGACAAACATGCACGCAGTCCACCTGATGGTAAGTGGATGCTGTAGCCCATAAATATTTACATTTATCCTCAATTAAGAATCAAAATGCAGATGCGTTGTTACCCTTGAGGACTAAGATAGAATGCCTAGTTTTTTAATAAAAAGGGTCTCCGGTTCTCTACACTCACCACACGAAACAGCAGCATTAAGCTGCTATTTATGCTGGCACTCTGTGAGAGCATGATGATCCCTGACCGGTCGAGCCGACGCATTCATGCTGCAACCACAATATATCTGCACCATGTCTTTACCACCTTAAAAAGTAGTGCCTGAATGTGATATGACATTGATGTTCAGTCAATATTAAAATTTAGGAAAATATATAAAATTGCCTTAATTTCGTATAATGGGCATATAATTAGTTTTCTTTAAGGGAAATCTGTTAACAGTGACCTATTGAAATGAAAGCAATGAGAATAATAAAAAACAATAGTTTAGTTTAGTTTTAGTAATTGTTTATTGTCATTTAAATAACATTTTTTTAAATTGTCATTTTCACAATTTATATAATCAATTCAGATGCCAATATAAATCATGATATTGAGATCACTTTTATTTCAGCTACTTTCCAAGTCATGACATGAGTAATACTTAACTTCTTACTTACTTATCTAGCTTAGCAAACCTTACAAAAATGTTCATTCATAGCAAATTATAGGGTATCAGCCTATAATTTCGTATATTTTCATATACATTCAGTACTTGCTTATCATCATTAGTATGTTAGTGGATAAACAGGACTGCGATAAAATGTTATTGAAAACTTTATTATTGGTATAGTCACAACAGTAATTTTTATTCAAAATGTATTAACAGATGAACCTCAATGACATAATATTAAATATTACTTGTAATAAGGGCAGTTTGATATTTTGTCCATATTTAGTCATGTTCCTATGCAAAAAAGGAAAAATTACAAATGCCATTGGTGTGAAACACCTTTCGAAATATTTTTCTTTTTCACTTTCGTTTTTATATTCTAGTATTGCACAAAACGGTATAATTTCGCATATCTCACTTAGGCAGGGACACGTTAGCTCGCGACAGTTTGAGCCTACGACTGACAAGTGTTTACATTCTACTGTCTGTAATTGTGACAGGTATGCCCCGCCCAATTTTTGCTTCCTCTTGTTTTTTATATTCCATGGTATGTAACATATCGTCGTCTAAAAGTGTTAAACTGCTAAATCCACTTTTGCTAGTATGAAGGTTTTTATGTCGATGGAAAGAGAAAAAAAATACCTTTCAACTCGAAAAGATGCTAAATACATCCAAATTAAACAAAACACGAAAAAACCACGCAATCAAAACTGATAAGTACAGCGTACCAAATTTCACGCGTAAAAAATGACAACTCCGCCATTTTGTTCGTGCGTCCG